GTCGAACGTGCCGATGGCAGATGCCTGGGGCGTGATGACACCACGACAGGTGGATGGTACAGTAAGAACGATCAGGCTGTTGAGAAATTAGAACGCATGCGAGGCGTGCCGCGGTGCCGTACCAGCAGGCTCAGGCCGACCTTGAATGAATCAAAGTTTGCCGTGAGGTTGCCCTTCGTGAGAGCCACCTGGAACGTACGTTAGCGCACGCGCACAACGCACACGAGCAGAAGCTGGAGTGCCATTCGTACTGTGAATCCGATAGCGACATCGGTACCGAGCGTGAAAGCGGGAACCGTAGTTCCGTCGCTAAGGATGGCATAGCAGGTGGTATTGAAGGTCATCGTCTCGCCAAGCGCTGCAGAGTGCAATGCATTTGGGGGAGTGGGCGTCGTGAGGTAAAGCTAGAGCAACACAACATACGTTACGTGTGTGATCCGCTGAGAAGTGTGGGTGTGTGTACCAGTGGTGCCGATGGTCGTCACAGGAGGAGAGGTGCCCACCACCTCAAACTTCATCCCAGCATTCGGGAACTTGAAGTACCTGGTACATGATGGACAGTGTCAAACGTCGGACGTAGTCTGAACTGTGAGGAATACGTGGTGGAGGCGTACAAATTGGGCAAAAAGAACTGCCAGTAGGTCGTGTTCAGCTGCACAGGGAAGTTGGGCGGGATGGAGGATTGATCCAAGGTGAGCGCCAGTTTGCCTGAAGGAGAAAGGGACCAGCCGTGAGAATAATGGCGCCTCAGGGCGAGAGTTGCTTTGGGAGAAGTGAGTGGACCCGCGGCAAGATAGGCGCAGCCGACCGAGGTGATGAAGCTCTCGTGCGCCATGAGCTGTAGGTTTCTGTCACCCAACTGCTCCAAGTCTGACCACACCTCGTGAGCTCATGAGCTGAATGATTGGGGAAAATATGATGCGAGGCAAGTGTACGAACCTGGGATCATTTCGCCCGAAGGGTAGGGGCAGTTGGTGGTGCCGTTGAGCCAATAGAAGCGGCCTGCATGCAGAACGGGTGAGAACTCGAGTGATCAAGAGCAATTGAAACAAAAATCAAGTCAACCTGCATACCGATGTGATTGGTGAGGGCGCCAAAGGACGCAATGTAAGGGTTGACGGGCTCGTACACGAGAGCGTAATTGATGCCGACAACATCGTTCACCGCCGTCTTGACCGGGAAGCTGGCAACGTACCTGGAGAGTTCAATCGGTCACACCAGTTAAACACTTCTAACAAAAACAAGAAGAGAATGACAATGATGATGATGATGATGACGACGATGAGAGAGGGGTGGTACTGCTGGTTGATGTCCGAAATGGCAGCAGTCACCTGTTGCTTCAGGGCCGAGACGAAGGCGTCCTTTATCTTCCCCTTGAAGATGTCGACAAACACGCCATAGAACCACCTGAAGAAGCGAGTGTTAGCCATACATACACACCTGGGTAGCTCGAACGGTCGCAGATGGAAGGGCAGCAGCACGTACGAAGCTCCGCCGTGAACAGATACATCAAACTTCTGGAGGTTGGGGTTGACCGACCCGGCATAGACTTGCGGCTCGCCACCGCGGTTCAAGAACACCAGATCGATGTCCATCTGAGAGACGGTAGCGACATCATTAGAATGAGAAGCGGCCAGCTACGATCAAGCAACGTGTAGGTTCGTGCGGCTTTGGTGCAGGTACATTGAGTATGACGTTGACTGAGGCATCGCCGCCGCCAGAGATGAGAAGAGCCGAGTAATGGAAGTCGAGATCGACGCGGAACGAAATCTCGTCTCTGCACAACAGAGGAGCACGCATTGTCAGCCATACTGGGGTGGAACGCACACAGCACCATTGGGAAGGGCGAGGTGAGGTGTACAGATGAACACGGACGACGCCGTCGTTGACTGCGGGGTCGCTCACCACTTGCGCC